AACTGCTTAGTGCCCGCTTAAAAGTTGGTCCTTAGTTTGCTTACTTCTTGGACATTTTACTCTTGTTTTTTTAAGGATTATGTGAAGAGGCAAACTCGCTTTGTTTCGAAAGAATCTCCAAAGGCCATCATTTCGACAATTGAAACTGTTGCTGAATCAATGGGTCTCAAGGTCCATACACGTAACTACAAGGTGTGCCTCTTAATTTCCTGCGTTAATCTTGATGTGCTCTCCATTTAAATTGGGATCATGCTATGCAGCTTGTATGCTCAGTTTTTTGTTCTTTTGCTTTACCGTGTATACCATTGTTCTTGAATACGGTATTGAAGTCATTTTTTGAGATTTAATAAGCCTAATGATAGTGTCATTGGTGACTCTATTCTAGATAGATAGGGAATAGCCTAGAACTTTACTATTGAAACATGTTTATTCTTTTGAAAATTTGGTCATCCTTTCTGATATGTATAGTAGCTGGAAAGCTTATTATAACTATTTTTTTAATTTTAAAAATGGAATATTTATAAAGCCTTTTTTCAGACAATTGTCAATTAATCCACAACTTTTAGTTTCTTAGTTTTCATGTCATTTCTTTTTTGTAAAGTTTGTTAAGGGTCAGGCCTCTCAGCTCTTTTCCATCAGATTAACTAGTTTGACAACAGAATTTCTGATTCTGGGGATACTTATTCCTAATATGCTCTCGCCCCGTGTGAGGATGTGGCTTGTTGTGGTTAGGATACGAGGCAACATTTTACTAAGGATACTCAACTTCTGTTGTTGGAGTCTCTGAGGCATTTCTGCTGATGACTAGGTGAATAATGCTCAAATGAGTGGTAACCTTGATGAGGGTGTAAGTTCTTTCTAAGGGATTATATGTTTCTAGATATTGAAGACGGGGACCTATTGTTGGATGTATTAAGGATGAGTGGAAGCAGGGATAAGGGGAAGTGGAGTTTCCCCTTAAGATAAATCGTCTGAGAAAATAAGGATGTGTCCATTTCATGGCAGATTCAAGGACCTTCAAAAGGCACCCTTGGACTGAGAATCCTGCACATTATAATAAAGGGGCTGCAGGGAGATGAATTCTTGCATGTTCCCGTGGCTGAGTAGCATTCTCAACAGGTTGATTTGGCATTTTTCAGCAATAAGGAGGCTGATTGCCATCTTCAGAAACTTTGATGCACGAGTCTTCAATTAATCTGTCATACAAGGAAAGATACAAAATCAATTTCCAAAGATTTTCCTAGAAAAGGTTGTGGAATAATTTAAAATTGAACTCTACTTATGTGGAGTGTCTTATAAAAGGTTTCCACATTGAAGTTTGATCTTTTAGCTTTTTTTAGGTTCTCATATTTTGGCCTTGTTTGGTGAAAAGCTGATAGCTTATAAATTAAGCTGATTATGTTAGCTGATTTGACTAGCTGATTTTATTAACTGATTTGACTCGCTGATTGTATAAACTGATTGTATAAATGTGTTTGGTAAAAAATTATTAACTTATAGCTTTTTGGGTATGTAAAATTACCAATATAGACATAGGCATAATTTAATGTTATGGAACTAAAATGTACTAATTTTTTTTTTTTTGGTATAATTATGTACATTATTAATAGTCTAATGTGTTAATTATTATAATTAAATTTTACTAATACTCTTATTGAATATTAATCTTTCTTAAGAATGTTTAAATATACAACAGTTTGTTTTTGCAATGACTAAATTATTTATTGCTACAATTTAGGATAATAGTTTTTTTTTTTTTATTTATTTATTTATTTATTATTATTATTATTATTATTTATTTATTTTTATTACAGAGTATTATTATTATTATTATTATTATTATTATTATTATTATTATTATTATTATTATTATTATTATTATTATTATTATTATTATTATTATTATTATTATTATTATTATTATTATTATGGTAAATACTATGAAGTATTAATCAAGTGCCACCTAATCCATACATGTCAAAACATTGAACCCAACCCTCCTAAATAATAAAACCCATTTTTTTGATGCAATAAATAAAGCCCATTAGATGAATTTTATTTTACAAAGAGAGTAAAAAAAGTGAAAAAAAAACCCTTCAAACCGCACACCTCAGCCATCTTCTTCCTCCTTTCTCTTTTTTTTTTTTTTATTAAAAATGAAAATGCAACAAAATCATGGTGCTGAGTAATTTAATACGGAGTATTATTTTTCCTCATAAATCTTAAAATTTCAAGTATTCCTCCTTTTCTCTTTTAATTTCTCTTTATTCTAATTTTATTACTGTAGACATTAGCTAATTTTATTTGTTTCTTTTTTTTTTTTTTTTTTTTTTTTTTTTTTTTTTTTTTTTTTGCAAATCAGATTTTTACTTCATTCATGCTTTATTCATGGAGTTTTTCAATTGAATTTAGATGGTTATTTATCTCTGATCAAATGGGCAATGTTGTAAAATTGGGTCTAGATTTCAATCAGCTCTTCCAAAACGTTGCTAAACCCAACGTTTTCAAAATTAGCTTATTTCATACAATCAGCCTTCTCTATCTTCCAGTTACCAAACACCCACATTAGCTGATTAACTTGGTCAACCCTCTAATTCGAGGCATCCGCTGAATTTGGCTCAATCCGCTGAACACCAATCACCCCCTTTGAGCACTTCATGTCCTTCAATGTATTCTCCTTTTCATCTTTCTAGTATAGATTTTCTTGTCGGTTAATGTAAGCTTGGTAACAGTTTGATATATATGCCACTTGCAAACATTCTATGCTGAATTGGAGTGTTGCTTCAGCTGTCTGGTAAGGATTGGAGTGCTTCTCCTTTTAAGCAAATTAATCAACTCGATCTAAGTCCCATGGGAAATTTCCTTCAGCAAATTGGGCACGTGTGTCTTGTGCTATTTATATTCTACCTTATTTATATTGAATTTCTAAGGCCAATTAGCTTAATGGTTCTCTGTCTTTGTTTCTTTCTGTGATCTAGGCATCTAGCCATCTTGGTGTGGTTTAGACTACTGTTAGATTATAACTTGAACTATTTGAGCCCTAACCTTTTCCTTTTGTTGGTTTCTGTAGACAAGACTTGAAGGAATATCGGCTAATAAGGCAGGACAGTTTTCTGTAGTGATAGAGGTAGTTCAATTTTATTTTATTTTTTTTAAAAAAAAAAATTAAAAATAAAAATTGGTGTTGAACACTTGAGCTATGCCCCTTGAAATCCTAATAGTATTTCAAATCTCTCTTTGTCCTTATTTCAGGTCTATGAAGTTGCTCCCTCACTTTTCATGGTTGATGTTCGGAGAGCCGCTGGTGACACTCTTGAATACCACAAGGTTAGCTCCTAACCTCTTTTCTAGTTTGGAATAGCTGTGGGTAAGACTGCAATGCTGCATACATTGGCACCAAAGTATATGCTGCTTTTTTTGACTTCATAGTTATGTAGCTAATGTTTAATTTTCTTACCTTTTCCAGAAAAAGAAAATTAAAAAAAAAAAAATGGTTATGAATGAAGGAAATATGGCTGGATTTTAATGGGCGTGCGAGTTTTTTGAATAATCTCATTTACTACATGACCTTGCAAATTTCTAAGATGTCCTTTTATGTTCTTGGTCTGCAGTTCTACAAGTTCTTTTGTGCTAAACTGGATCACATCATATGGAAACCAAATGATGGTATGACACATTCCAGTCTACTTAAAACCATATCTTTCTGATTTGGTACTAGTTTACTACCATAGGATGGAGGATATTATATGAGCAGGCAATGATTAAAAGAGTTTACCTTATCTAATTTATGTATATTACATTACAGGAATAATAAAAGATGGTTCCCAAAGCGTTGAAAATAAGTTTCATCGAAGAAGTTACTCGAAGCCTTAAAGGAAGTTGTCGTCAACGAGCCAAATGAAATCTGTCAAAGATCGTGAGTTTGTGCAACGTATCTATGTTTATAGCTTCTGTATGTCTAGACCAACCTTGTAAAAATTGTTCAATCTCTCATTTGTATCAGTATCCTGTTCTGGATTGCGCTGGGTTATGTACTGATGCATTTTTACTGAGTATCTACGTCTACAGCGCATTCTAAATCTTGGAGGCAACTTTCTTAAGAACTGTATTTAGTTGTCTTCAATTGTTTCTTAATAAAACTAGAACGCAAATCCATTCATATATGTAGCAAAAACATCAAAATATGTGTCACGAGGCATTCAGGTTGATGTAATGCTATTGTTCTATAGAATTATCCACGGCTGAAAATCTGAGCAGACAATTGCTTTTAAGTTTTTATAAATTACTTTGGATTATCCTTATAAGGCCCTGTTTGATTCACCTTAATTTTGCTGAACTGAAATTATTTTTACTGAATTGAACTTATTTTTACTGAACTGAACTTAATTTTACTGAACTGAAATTATTTTTACTGAACTTAAATTATTTATACTGATTTTCTATTATAATTCTTCTTTAAAAAAACTGAATTTTACTGAACTGAACTTATTTTTACTGAACTCAAATTATTTTTACTGAACTGAAATTATTTTTACTTAATATTAAATTTTTAAAGTGAAGAGAACAGGGCCTAATTGTTGTTACTCTTGTTAGTATCTTTTTGTAACATCGTTGCTTATTTGATCGCAGAAATATTTTAGCCTTTTAGGATGTAGCCTGATGGTTTATATGCATGTAACACACAATATAGCGCGGAATATATTACGTAGATTAGTTAATCAAGTGGTACTCTTGTATAGTTGTACTCTCTCTATCTCTAAAACAAAACTTCTTGTTTTGACTCTTTCTGAGATAGTTACCGTCAAAATAGCGAGAATTATTAGAGACCAAAGAGTACTAGCTCATCTTGAGTAGACTTAACATTGATACAGACAAGTCTACTTCAATTATAACATGAATGCATGACAAATTCAGTTATAATATGAATGTCATTCCAAGGCTTTTGACTCATTAAGTTTTCTTTGTTTTTTTCGCCAATTCCAGAAGCAAAACAAAGGACATACATACCAAAATCAATGCATTAATGACTTGAGACCCAAAAAATGGACATCATAATTTGATATACATGTAGTACACTTAAATAATTATGGTATCATCATTCATCAATAAATCAACCTCCTATTGCCAACCTCTATGCAAAATCTCTATAAATTAATTCCTAAAGTCGATACATATATAATCTCTGTTCAAATACAGTTGTCACATTACTAGTTTAAATTACAACATCGAATAAACATATCGACTAATCACGGCTGAAAAAGCTTATTCTTACACCTACATTTCCAAGACACAAGATAATAGTTCTCATCTTGTTGGGATGATACTCGGCGTGGAGGAATTACAAGAACAGCCATGCAAGGCCTGCAATTCATGCACCTATTTGTACACCTTGGTGGTCGAGATCCCAGCACCGTTTTTTTTGCTCACTGATATTCCTATATTTTAATCCAAAATAAAAAATGTAAGTAATTAATAAAATTATTTTACGTCTTCTAATAAACCATGTGATTATGTAAAAGTGTTTATATTATAAAGTTGTGAGTAAAAATTATCATACAACAATATATATAATCCAATATAAAGTAGCAATGATGTTTGTGAATAACAACTTTTAATCATGTTAAACAAAAACTTATCAAAATAATTTAATTTTTTTAAAAAAAAAATGGTAGAAATAATTGTGTTTTAGCTATAATAAAAGAACTTAAGAGGTACAAAATTAGGAATCAATATAATTTATTACTATCCAAGATGTTTATAAAGAATAATTTAAAATGTTCCAAGTTAAGTAATCCTTGGTTAATCAAAAAAACACATACTAAAGGTTATTATCAAGGATTTCCTCAAAAAAAATGTTGTTAATAAAAATTACTAAAGCATCAATAAAAAAAAATAAAAAAAAAAAGAAAGATAATTGAACCTTACTACTCAATGACAATAATATTGTAATTATGAGTCAAAAAATAAAAGTGAAACAACAAAAAATGTCAAATAAAAAAAACGAAGGAAGTAATACGGAGCATATAATTACATGAGATCGGATTTGAGTTGTTACCTGAAATGGAAGGAAGAGAAGAGAAAGAAATAACGCAAGCCAAAATGAGAGCAGCCATTTGTAGCCTGAATGATTTATAGTTTGTAGTAACCATTTATATCAATCTATATACTCTAATTCTTGTAAGAAAAATAGAGGAAGGTAAAATTGAGAGGTTCACTTGTATAAAACTGAAGGTTAATATAATAAAGTGCTGTTCTTTTATTCTTTTTTGCTTCATGTAAATAATACTGAAAAGTAGATAGCATATAATATAATACTTCAGTATGTATGTTTTCTGGTTTTTAGAGGTGCACACTATAACAACACTGTACTCAAATGTTTCTTTTTCACGGCACTATGTTTCACTCGTTTTCTTTCACTTTCATCTTATTTTATCACTTTTGTACGTTTACTTTCTTTAACCAATCTTTTTTACCTTTAATTTGATGATTCTTTATGATATATTAGCTGAAGTTAAATCAGATCATCTTGAGACGAAGTTTTTGTTGGTGTTGTTGATTACGCGAGTGCATTCTTACTAATGCTTATGGTGAGCATGCCGACCATGTGGCTCTATCTATATGACTTAGTAAGGAATGGTATGATTGTGACACAATACTAAGCTAGGTGTATGTGCATGCAACCACATGTGGTGTGGGGTTTTAGAGACCGTATGTAGCACGAGTATTATTAGGGTTACTATAGTTTGTTAGTACGGCTTGAATCATTTGAATGTTTGATACAAGTTTTTACTACCTACGTCTAATATAGTCAATAAATATCTCACATTTCATTACCTATAATATTTGGAAATTATGCTCTTTTCATCCCACATTAGATTATCTACGCATAATATTTAGACGTAGTCAAGCATACATAAGAATTTGCTTATAATCTTTTGCTATTGGCTCATCCTAATACTTCCTATATAAGCTTGATGTAATCATCCACTTTAAGAATTATAGTTTTGTACCCTCAATTTTTACGATAGAAAATGACCTAAAAATTTGAAAAAGGTTCGAATTTTTATAACACTTAAACAAGTGAAATTTTTAAATGACCAACATGAAAGATTGGAAGTTAATGAGCCCAATGTTTTTGTTAGTTAGTGGGCCCAATCCTTTGTTTTGTGTAGTATTTACTGAAGAGGTTTGTTACCACCATGAGAGGACTCTTGATTGTCTCTGATGAAAGAATCCAAGTGTCTTTGAAAGATAAATAGTCATCACTAATTCACAAGCAATATTTTATAGCAAGGGTTATTCTTTGAATCTATGTATGCTTTGAGGCTTTGAGCCTTTGATACATTAGAAAAGAACACAAAATTTATTGAATAAATTGAATATTTTGGAACTCTAATTATCGAAGTCTAATTTTTACGGAAAACAAATTCATAACTTTTTTTTTTTGAACGGAAAACAAATTCATAACTTGTAAGTGTAAAAATTTAATCAAAATTTACAGGATGTACCCTTTTACCACAAAGGTATTTTCGGATTTTTAAATAATTAAATACAATCAAATTTCTTATAAACATTTATTCCTTCCCAATCTGAATCTACTTGGTAAAATTGAACTAAAAAACAAGCAAAATCAAGTTTAAAAACACACTTTTAAATGTTGTTAGATATTTACAAGAATTTATGTTTGAAAATTAATTCATGTTGTGCTTCAACATACACCTATCTCATGACTTGACCTTCCTCTGCACAAACTTTAGCAATAATTGAAGGTACTAATGCCTTTGTCTCCCACTCCCCACCTTTCAATTTTTGGTTGGACATCTCTGATTTTTCACATGAAATTTCACAATTTTAATTCTCCTATACTATTTACTACACGGTAGATTTATACTTGTTGCTACAAAAGTGTGAGACATTTCTCATAAATTATTTCATATACTATCCAAAAACAAACACAATATATTCACATTTTGACTAATCCTTGTAGAGTCCAAGTTCCTGTATTCCAATTATTTGATGTACACATTATTGTGAGTTTGTGATTCATATTGTACATCGGTATATATATATAAGATTTTGTGAATGAGAGACGATAGGTTAATCGTTGAGATTTGTGAATAATTATGTCACATCTCGCTTATCCTAGTGGTATATTTATGTACATTTAGTTTGATAACATACTAAAGGACCAACTCAATCAAAATTTTAAGTTAAGGGTTGAAGCTTGAGAATATATTTTATAGTCTATCAAATTATTCTTTTTATTTCTATTTTTATTATCAATTGAGAGTATGTATGCACTAACGAGAAAGAAAAGAGTGACAACTGATATGTATGATGAGTCACAAGTTCAATCCCTTTCTCATTTGTAACTTGTATTACCCTAGTATGTAACTTGTATTACCCTAGTACATCATCAATCGAAAAAAGAAAAATCTATCAAGATTATGTAGTGTTAGATCAAACTAAAGTCTACTCAAGAGGCAAGGTCATTTTAAGCTTTACAAAGATCTTTACACAAACAATAGTTAGGTTCCACCAAATTATTATTCCTACACTTGTGACTTGTTTCCTTACACTTTGAAACATGGTAGAACATTTGCTCGTTCCATACTTCCACGCCCATGCATCTCCATCATGGAGGGAGTATTTAAATGTTATCATACTACTATCATTGTTAACAAGTACATCTAATTGTTAGGTACTAATTGTCACGTTGTAAGTATCTAATAAACACTAAACGACATTTTATAATAATCGGTACATTATCCCTATTACTTACTCCATATTTTTCATTTTGAACATAATAGATTAGGTTAATGATAGAATCAATAGTTACATATCAATAACCACTTCTGTAAAAAAAAACGTAAGATCATCTTCTGATCATTATAAAATAATAACGCGTATATAAGATAATATAATTACTCGGTACTCCATACATAATTATCTATATATGTCATGGACCAAAGGCATCTAACAACAGTAAATCACTATAGCACCCAAAAAAATAACAGTGTAAGATGAGTATAACATTACAAATACCACAAAAGGAGGGGATATTATGTCACATCTCCATGTCTAAGGAATAATAAAATGTGTGATGAATGGTTAAAGTTTAATACAGTACAAAGTTATAAAAACAAATAAAGAAGACTTAGACAGTGTGATAATGTGATATGACAACTGAAAATACACCAAAGAAAATTTACATCTATCAAAAGAATTTTTTCTTTGTCCACAATAATTGTAGTATATTATGTTGTAGTATATTATGTTCAAATCGCAGAAAAACATACAGTATTTTGTTTATTTGACTAACTATTAGCCTTGATGAATGTACAAACATAAAGCTTGTTAGTTAAGGTTATAGAATCTGATTCATGTCAAAACAAAGAGTTAAGTTTTTGTAAATTAGATCTCTTATGTACTAAGAAAGCCGAAATTGTAGGTATTTAGCATTTAGAATGTCGTATATATAATTCGTTAGAAGAGTAGATCGAACAACATTATGTAAAACTATGTATAATGTCGTGCATTGCTATATTTGATGATAAGACTCTAGCTCTAGTCTTTATGATATGGTTTGGAAATCACAAACTCAAAGCAACTACAGGCCTATAGTGCAACAATCTATTAATGACAATTTTAAGGTTAAAGCATTGGTAATGATATTATTAGTACATCACTTCCAAGTTCCAATTTTTAAGGTTAATATAATAAGGGGTGAAATCTTATTTGTGTAGGAAATAACAAGAAGCCCAAATACTTTGCCTTGGGCTGGAACCAAAGGTAAGGGCCCAAATCTTATTTGGGTTAGGAGATGAGGCGCTATGCAAAGGCCAAACACTTTGCATTAGATAAATAATACCCCTTTGTTGCAATTCACATTTGACGGAGGAAGTATATTTTTATAAAGAGCTATAAAGGCGGAAGATGAGAATCGATCCAGGATTCTTTGAAACCGGGAGGGAAGCTCTAACTATTAGAGCTATCCTTACTTTGCATTAGAAATTAGGATGTATAAATGTGTAAGCCATAGGCTTGTACATAAGGATTTATATAGGGAACAAGAGGCAAAAATGAAGCAGAAAGCTCCAATTTTTTATTTTTTTTTTATTATTTTTTTGATTTTTTTGGTATTTTTCAAGGTTTTTTTTGTAATGAAAATAAAGTTTTAAACTAAAATAGTTGCCAACTACAGATCAAACTAAATAGGAAGAGCCATACAAAACTAAGACCTTGTACCGAAAAAACAACCTTGAATAGGTTGTCAATGGCAAAATGAGCTTTCAAACTCGTTGCCATCACCAAAGTCTATGACCAAGACTCTTCCTATTATCACCAACAGCAACTACTAACTAGGGGAAGCCAAAGACTCCAAAACATATGAACGGCGACTCTAGCAGAAAGATATTCCTGTCCGCGGCTGCTTGAAAACTCGACTTTACCCATGACTAAGAAGCTTAACATCATCAGGCAGGTATACACTCAAAAGGGTATCAATGGTGCGTAAAAAGGAGGGTCTCCCATCTGCAGGAGACAAAATCTAAACGGGCTGCTTCATCCCGCAAAAATGACCAGGGTAATGCAATTTTTGCCAAAAGATACCCCTGGAAAACAAATGAACCTGAACTGATGTAACTGTCAAGCAACTTATCACGAGCAGAAAAACTAAAGATGGCGGTGATATTCAGCAAAGAATATCACATTTCCACAGATTACCCATGAGCATATCAACACCACTGCTGCTAAGTGAATTGCAGTGTTGGAGGTTCAAACCAACCAGGCTTTTTCCTAACTGGATAAGGTACGGTAAGCTCTTGTTTGATATCCTAGAACAGCCTGATATGGAAAGAATTTGTAGGTTTAGTTGCTCTGAGCATGATAAAGCAGCAATGCCTGAATCTGTTACTGCAGAGTTTGAGACATCGAGATCATTAAGCAATGGGCAGCTATCAGAAATGACCACTAAGCTCATATCAGAAATCTTCCTGCACCCATCAAGATTGAGCTCTTTGATGGTCTCACCATGGAGTCTAGCAACAGCAAGAACAGATTCATCGGACAGGTTTATGCAGCCACTGAGGTTCAACTTAGCTAGCCCCGCCACAGAGCTCTCAAGAAGCGAGATAATACCCTCATCTGACATCCCATAGAGGCCACTCAAGTCTACCTGCCTTAGGCTTGGACACATCTTACCCAAAATACTCAAGCCAGCACTACCAAAGGCAGGGCAGTTTTTGATGGAAAGACATCGAAGGGATATGCAAGGGTATAGGAGGAGGGAACCTTGGAAGGACACATCCTTAAGACCCATGCACTTGACAAGGGAAAGTGACCTGAACTTAAAGCTGCAACTGGAGAGGGCGGCAACCAAACCAGGTAGAGTAATCCTATTGCAACCTTCCAAATGCATGCTCTCTAGAGCTTCGGCTGATTTTGAGAACGCCAATATACCATTGTCTGACATGAAGCAGCCATTGCGGAGGTAAATCTGTTTGAGGGCGGAGCAGCCCTTGCCAATGGCTTCGATACTGAAATCTGTCACTCCAAAACACGAAGAAATTGACAAGGACACCAAAGCCTTCAAACCTTGGGCATTACCCATCACTGAAAACCCTCTTTCGGTCACGTTCTTGAGGTTGCTCAAAGTAAGGCTGGTGATGGACTTCCCATAGTGGCCAATGACAACAAGAGAGAAATCAGAGATGTTTAGGTTCTGAAGCTTCACTTTGGACACAATTGATGAGTTTGATGAAAACAAACTTGCAAGACCTTGATCCCCAACTAAAGGGCAGTCCTTGATGGAGATTGATTCCAGTTTGGGGCAGCCCTGAGCAATTGCTTGCATGCTGTCATTGCCTATTCTAGGACATGATTCGATTGACAAGGTTGTCAAATTCGGGCAATTTTCAGCAATAGCAATTAAACCCTTGTTGGTAATAGAAGGGCACTGGCTGAAGTCAAGCTTTTCCAACATATGGCATTCCTTCGCGACCTCAGAAAGGCCTTCATCACCAATAGAGGAAACATTCCACAGGGACAAAGATTTTAAAGATGGACACCCACGAGCTATAGCTAAGAGACCGGCATTTGTGACACCGTGAGTAGAGTTGCTTCCCCGAATAGAAAGCTTCCCAAGTCCACCTCGAGCAGCAGTTCCAACTGCAATAGCAGCAAGTCGAGTATCTGTAGCTTTCTTCCCTTCCACAGACCTCGTAAGACAGCCATCCACCTCTTTGTCCTCAGACACCATAGCAGTGTCATTGTTGCATATTTCAGCCCTGCGGATTCTGCTCAAAAGAGTAAGCCATTGCTTGGAGACACAAGCAGAGATGCTTCTCTCTTTGCCAGCCATTCGCCTGAAGATCTCAAAGAGGCATTCGTCGGGAAGAACATTGATGGATGATCTCGTCGCTTGCTCAGATTCTTGATCCCAGAGTACAAACGGGGCACTGATGCGTGCACGTTTGCAAGCAGAACCAAACACATCCACATTGACCATTGAGTTAGCACAGAATGCACTCTCATTGCGTAGTTCATCTTTCCCTGAAAAATGGACATGAATAGCATACATAAGCAACAGCAAATCACAAAAACATAGACATTATGCTGAAAATTGTTATCCTTCTCATTTCATATGAATTTCATCCTACCTTAAAAAGCTACAAAATTCCAATTAATCATGAAGCAAGAAAAGTTTTCCGGGTTTACTTAATCTATGGTTAAGTAATATTTCATCCAAATTTCAAAAACCCCAATTGAAATTAAATCATCAGTTATGATCATGATCTAAGCTAATTAAAAACTTTAATCCTATACCACATTTCATTTTCCGCAATTATAAATACCATTTAATTTAAATAGGCATTTGGGCCTTATGCAATCTACCTTGATCAATTAATCAAAATTCATACAATAATTTCATATTTAGAAAATAAAGACTTATTGTACTACATTTAGACATGTTATAATCATATTTTCTCAAAATTCACTAAGTTTGATCACATTCAGACAAATTAAACAAAAACCCAATTGAAATTCCAAAATAAGAAATTAACTAGTCTAATCAAAAAAATAAAAACAACTAATTAATCAAGAACAAGATGAGAGAACATACCACTGTAGTTAACAAGAGTCGGCATGACTGAAATTGAAGTTGAAAATCTACAAAAGAATCAAAATTGAAGAGAAACCCAGAAATTATAAACAAAACCCAGAAGAGCTGAACAAGATTAACAGCAAATCCAAAGCACATTACAAAGATTAACAAATTGATCAATCAAGGTGAAAAGAAGAACCCTATAGAAAGAAGTTTATAGGGAAAAAAATGGTTGATGAAAAAAATATGTGAATATGAAATGAAATCATTAAATTGAAACAAGATTTATATGGGTTGGTAAGAGAGAAAAAAAATATGAAATGATCAGATACATTATGAAAGAACCCCCCTAAATGTTTTGCTATAAAATGATAATAGTATGGTCTAATACAATGTATCTAAATGATCCTACAAAAATAAAAAATATTACCGATTCTAAGGTTATTCTCCCGCCCCCACCTGACCCCACTTCTCTCTTTCATTCCACTTTTGCCTTCTAAGAAACTTGAAACCGCTTCCTACTAACTATGGTTAATCAGGTCGTTTGATTTGATTTACTTTTTACGGGAGGTAATTGGATTGTTTGATATTGATGTACATTTTAGTTAGATTGTTTAAAGTCGATTTATTAAGTGAGTGTTGAATTTATTTAGTTAGGTTATTATGAATTTAGGTGTTATTGTTGTGTTAAGTAGTTTAGTCTTGTTTGTTGTACGAATTAAATAGTTATTTATTTGTCTAAAATAATTGTCATTTTGTTACTCAAGAAAAGTATAATCATAATCTTATTTATAAATTAATTTTCAAAAAGTACAGAGTATTTTTTAATTTAGTCTCAAAATTTAGGGTCTGTTTGGCAAAGGTAGTTGTAGCTGTTGGCTGTTAGCTTTTGAGCAGCTGTTAGCTGTAGAGATAGATATGAGCTGTCAATAGGTAGCTGTGAGCTGTCAGCTGTCAAGGTAGTTGTTCATAATATGAATGTTTGGCAAAACTAGCTGTTGAAATTATTATTATTATTAGTAGTAGTAGTATTATTATTATAATAGTAATAATTATTATTATTAGTGGTAGTAGTAGTATGACATACCTTAACAAATCAAAGAAACTTGTATACTTTTTTTTCCTCCTTTTGATTCTCAAATAACAAATGAAAGTATAAATTTAATTATGATTTTGAAAGAAGATGGAGTAGAGAGTTTACATAGCTAGGAAAATATAACATTATATAAAAAAATAATCATGTACAAAAATATGATAGAAAACCTGATATTGTGGTTGACTGGAAAACAATACACTGTATAAAAAAAAACATAAAACTTTTGTTTTTTTTTAAAAAAAAATAAAATAATAAGAAAGATAATAAAACCTAAAAAATAGGTTGAACGCTAGTTTTTTTTTTTCAACGCTATCTTTTCTAGCTTTTATTAACAGCTACCTAAAAGCTACCTCCAACTCTAACAGCTACTTAAATCACTACTTCACCAAACATTAAAATTTTTATAGGTAGTGTTTGGATTAAGTTCAAAAGCTAACAGCTACCTCAAAAGCTAACAGCTACCTCAAAAGCTACCGCCAAACAGGCCCTTAGGATGAGAAAATATAGGGGGAAAATGATGTCAAAAATAATTTAAGCGTGAAAATTTCAATAAAAAATTGACATATGTCCCTTAATGACAGCATATTTTGTTTTATTAATACTCCGTAGTTAATTGAATAAATAGGGTGGTTTGATTTGGTTTATATTTTGAGTCCGAATAATTTAAGTTGTATTATAATTGAATGTAGGATTAATTTAGGCGTGGACCATTTGAATGAGTTAGCTTTGAAATATGTTGTTGACTAAAAGGGATTCTTTTTTTTTTTTTTTTTACACTGAGGATTATTATGGAATATATACATAATTATTAGTCATATTTATGTTTAATATCTTTTTCTTTTATTAGTTGAGTGGACAGGTGTCAAGTGATAATGTGGCATGATTTTATGAAGGGGGTTATGCACTAATGCACTTATGCTCGTGTGTTGTGAGTATGTTTTATTAAGTGCATTGTTACTTTAATAATGAAGTTATTATTGATATGTTGAATCCAATTTGAATGGACTTATTCACCAAATTCAATCCGGTTAATTTTTTAATTTAATCCAAAATTCGAAATTAAAGAAAATCTGTCATTTTTTGAGCTTTTATTATTGGCCAGTGATTCAAAAAAAGTATAAAAATTATCTAATCAACAAAATTAGCCTTAAAATGATAGTGTTTATATATATAATGTACGAATTACATACTAGTCATGTTTAATTTCAATATCTTTTCTTTAATTATGTGGGTGGACATGTGTTGTGTGAGAATGTGGCATGATTTTATGAAGTGGTTATACTCGTGTGTTGTGCATGCATTTTATCAAGTGCAACATTACTGTAATAATGAAACTATTATTGATATGTTGATTTTTAATTTAATCAAAATTCCAAATTAAAGTAAACTGTCATTTTTTGAGCTTTTATTTTTGACTCGTGATTAAAAAAAAAAATAATAAAAATAAAAAAAAAAAATAAAAAAAAAAAAAAAAAAGTGTGAGAATCATTTAATCAACAAAATTAGCCTTAAAATTACCACGAATATTGTATGTCTTGAAAACATAATTTTAAAAGTTAATAGTTGGCTAACAATTAAAATAACAAGGGCATGGTGGCTAACAATTAAAATAACAAGGGTATGTTATATAAAAATAAAAAAAATAATAAAAAAAAAACCAAAATTAAAAACTTGCTTTATTCACTTTTTTAGCCATCTCAATCCGATTTGAAAAATCTTTTTTTTTTTTATTTAAAATTAAAGAAAAATTCAACCCAAGTGAATTTAATTTGAAAGAAAATTAACCTGATTAGATTTTATTCAATTTGAATTGAAATTAGATTTATTTATTTTTTCAAATAAGAGACACATTTAATCACAATTATTTATAAGAGAAATAGATGGATAAATAATTTTAGTCGCCCGAATCAACCGATTTTAATTTGGTTAGGTGTTGGACCTATTCACCAAGGAGTCAATCTCCCCATCTAATTAAAAGAATGGAGAGGAAAATTCTTTACCAATTGATGGGTGTCCTAATCCTTTTGAGGGCCAAGAAACAAAACACAAAAACTTAACAAATTTTACTTAAAAAAAATAAAAAAAATAAAAATTAGTCAAGATTTGATTTTAAAATATCCATAATTTATCATTTTATATATCAAACATTGCCACCATCCAATAACCACTAAGCCACCTAATAACAAACAGAGATTACATGGATTATAGCTAGAATGGTTTAAGCAAATTTACATCAATTATGTAATAAGGTAAAGACTTGGGCTTAGGAATAAACTTACAAGTTCAAACAATCAACGATTGATGTAAGAATATATGAAAACCCTGCATGTTAAGAAAATAATATTTTATTAATAAAAGAAGGGGAAAACATGAGGAAAAGCAAGATAAAAAAATAAAAAAATAAAAAAAAAGGAATTAGAGGATTATAATGAACCATTTAACATGAAAAAATGTGCTAAATCATAAACAATGCAACATGAGTAGCTTAAATTAGGACTAATTTTGTAAATCAGAAATTTGATCCTTGAAATCAAATAATAAGAAGAATACTTACAAAATTAATCTCTAGGAATGAAGTAGTATTTTTCAACCAGAAAGATTACTCCACTTATGTTTTATCAAGGGACCTACACTCTATATATATAGGACTTAATTCAAGATTTGTTTTGAAAAAATATAATTCTAATACATGCACCTAAATAATTTTAATTTCCTTATAAAAATGAAAAAAATGACTTAATAATGAAGAGAAGGCATGTTCACATAGCATGGTTCTCTAATACAATGAATTATATATATTACACATGTTGAAATAATGTATCAATCACAATTTTTGTGATATGCTTCGATTTTATTAGTTAATATGCTGATTTTATTTATACAACATAGATTAAAATGATTTATGCACATTAAGGATTGATTACTTACCTTTTTATTATATGCACACGTCATAGGACTTGTCTGGCAGTTTATAAAAATGACGAGTACACGAGTCATAAATGTTATTAACGTTATAACTTGAATCACAATAATTTCATTTATATACTTAAAGTAGAGTTTCAATTATTTTTCATCATCAATTAATTCATACAGCGCAATGAATATGTATTATACAATTAAAAATATTTTAATTATATATATATATATATACTATATAATCACTATACTACAATAATTATACTTTTAAGTAATTAATATGCATCCATTTAGCTTAGTAATTAATAGTTATTGTTAATTTTTGTAATTTTGATAAAAAAATATTATTAACACAATATTGTTTATCATTTTTTATAATATCAATGTATAATACTAGCCTAATCAATTACCAATATATTTTGTATTAAAAATAAATGTTAATAAAATTATAAAAGTATTAAATTGTTTGTGGATAAATTTAATATATGGTTGTACTTAATTATATAACATATGATCGAGCATATGTATATATATATATATGATCTAGCATTTTCAAATAACAAATACATGCATTTTCTTAAAATTAGTTGCGATCTTTTTAAAAGGGATTCATTACTTATTATGTCATATACAAACATGACCCTTTGAAATTAAAGCTAAAATATCATGAATTTTCTAGATTCAATCAAGTTCAATGGATTCATCGATCTACTACATACTTAATATTAATATGTATGGGTCTGTTCACATTTACTGAACTGAGTTGAACTCAACTGAGTTGAACTGAACTGATTGGAGCTGAACTGAATTGAATTGAGCTAAAATAAATATTTTATGAGAGAGGGAAATTGGGAGCTGAACTGAACTGAACTGAACTGAATTGAACTAAACTAAACTGAACTGAACTGAACTGAACTGAACTAAACTGATTAGAGCTGAACTGAACTGAAATTAAGTAAATGTGAACTGACTAATAATCTAAACTCATGTAGGAAGGAGTCGTAATCCTTCCCAAACTTTGTGTTACATGATACTTCTTCTATTCTCCTAAAACATACCTACTTTATCTTCTTACCCTATTAAATTGAAAATAAAACAAAGATCGGAACAACGAAAGATTCAAAATAAAAATCAAACCAAGTTTCAATAAAAATAAAATAAAAAACCTAAATCAATATCTAACAAAATCAACAAATTAAAACATATGTATTTAATTTTGTGTATAATAAATTTAAGAAACAACAATCCACCATACTAGATTAGCCCATTTTAATTGACCATTACACTAAGGATGTGTTTTATTCACCTAATTTTTACTTATCTTAAATGAATTTATTTAAACTCATCTAAACGTATTAAGTCATATTAAAATTTGTTTTAGTTTTAATTTGAACTTTAGTTACTATTGAGCCCATGAACAACCCACATGTGAGCATTCTTCTTGTCCCACACTAAACACTAAAAGGGGGAGTGTAGTGGT